CCCCAAAACCCCAAAACCCCAAAACCCCAAAACCCCATTCTGTAAAAATTAAGAAAATATAGATAAAATAAATTTTGTATTTATTCATAATTCATGGAAAATTAATATAACCGATAGAGTTCAATCTCAAGTAAAGCTAATTAATTGGGTTCCTAGTTTGAAATCTATAACAACTGCTAGATTCAAGCTAAAGCCTTAAGCATGTACAGTAGCCATCACTAAGCAAAGTATAAAAGTCAAAGAAACGAAAAAGAAGCAATAAATAAAGCTATTCATATCCCGACCTCTATATATTAATAAAATGCAAACTAACAAATGGCATTGTCTCAATAGTTGAAAAATAAAAATGCCAAATAGTAGATTAGACTTAACAGTGAGGAAACAAGAGGGAATTCTCAATTCGAAAATCTGAATTTGATAGCCAATCAATAGCTGATCATGAGTAATAACAAGACTACAAGTCACTAAAATGAGTCAATATAACTTAAACTAAAATAAAACTAAGTCACTTCATAAAACCTCAATCTTTAAAACATCCTTAATCTTAAAAGTTAGCAGAACAGTAATTTGCTATTCGCAACCTCAAATTAAAAAATTAATAAAGAAGATGACTATAAATCATTCGTTGAAAAGAGGCAAAGCAGTGTTTCACAAATGGATTAGCAAACATCAAATCTTATGCAAATTTAGCAAAGACAGTAGTCTATACTCTATAACAGTGAAATAAGATAAAAAGCTGCTTAAACTTAAAGCTCGTCTGAAAGGCCAAACAAAAAGCAATTATTCTCAACGCAAAACAGATAGTCTAGTGGCTTAAATGCCTTCTCATAATATGTAACAGATCTAAATGGAAATGGAACTGGAAAAGATGCTTAAAACTCAGGCTTTAAAACTTCTTTCGGATCATTTAAAAGTATATTCAATCTCAAACATCTAAATAATCTTGAATCTGCAATGTATACATCTTATAATACAAATAACGAGAACTCGACTTAATCATTTAAGCAGTTTAGAGAATCATCAAAGTTAGTAAGTTCTCAGCAACCTAGGATGATAAATTTAAGAGATCACTTCTAGCTGTTGAGGAAAAGCCATCTTGATGGACAAATATACATTTGGGGAAGCAATCAAGACTCCTAACTTGGTATTGAATCTTAGAGTGAACAGCAAAGTAGGTTTATTCTCGATCCATACAATTTATAGATTGGAGGTAGTCTTAAAATAGCAAAACTAGTTTGTGGAGCTGGTCATACTTTGATCTTAACTATCAATCATTAGATATTTTCTTGGGGATGTAATCTTCTTGGCCAGCTCGGCCTTGGAGACACATAACCAAGAAATAGGCCTACTGAAATCACTGCTCTAAAAAATGACAGAGTAATTGTTGATATAGCTTCAGGTGCAGGACATTGCATGATCTTAGATTCATTTGGTGTTGTATACAGTTGGGGAGCCAGTGCTGATTTTTAGACAGGTCATTATGTTGAGCCAGCTTAAGAAGGAGATACCAAATAATTCATCATCTCGCCCAAGAGACTGGATATTCTTTGTCAGAAAAGTATCTAAGTTCTTAAGATTAGTTGTGGAATAAAGCACACTGCTCTAATCAATAGTAGAAGTGAGTTAATATGTTTTGGCAGTAATGAATTTGGATAATGTGGAGATGGTAAGCATGACTGCATAAAGATAAACTTTGATGTGAATATAAATCTTAAAGGAAGATAGCTTGAAAGTATTGAATGCGGAGGTGCTCATACATTAGTAAAGTCTATGACCTAAGAGATTTTTTCTTTTGGATTAAATGACAAGGGTTAACTAGGGTTAGGTATTCCAAATACTATAGTGACTGTGCCATAAAAAATAAAAAACTTTACTAGTTTTAACATTGTTAGGATGTCTTGTGCAGGTAAGTTTAATAAAGCATTGAAATTAAATTAATATAGATGAATCTACTTGTGCACTAACAAGCAATGGTGACGTATTTGTATGGGGTAGAAATAAAGATAATTTATTTGCACTTGGAGAAAAGAGATTAAACATTATAGAACCGACAAGAGTAATTCTTATTTTCTTAACTTTTTAGTTTCCAACTGAGTAATTCATCAATTAGCAGATTAAAAATATTTCATTGGGTTCAAAGAACCTATGCCTATACACCTCTAAGAATAAGTTGTATGTCAAAGGCAATACATTCAGTAGTACTTAGCAAAGAGCCACAAATTAGAGTAAAAGCTGTGCTGATTTCAAGGAAATTGAGCTATTTGATGATACTTATGACATCCAAGACTTGATTTGTGGAAGGTCGTTGATTGCAGTAATAGCAAATAGAGTCCAGAAACCCTTAGAATAAATATAACTACAATAAACTAATCCAACATAAGATACCTAAGAAGATAATCCTCCGTCAGAAGATATTGAAATACTTTTAAAGAAACATAGAAAAAGGAAAGTTCGTCAGCCCAAATACGAAATAGTCGACTCATCACCTTAGAATAAGAGTCTTGAGCAAATTCAAAACAGTGACAGGAAACTTAAGCAATCTATTAAAAATAGTCCATAAAAAAATCTAGATATAAATGGCCCAGTAAAACCAGTATCTAGTGATTAAAAGCAATTCTTGCAAAGTCTTTATGATAAGTATTTCAAAAAAGATGACAAACCACAATAAGTGATAGAGGAATAAGTATCAGATCGCTCCACAAAATCTCCTTCACCCAGAACAGATACAAGATTATTGAGATAAGAATTAGAAATCAGACGACGAATGAACACAGAGGCTATGAATAGAACATCTAATAGACCCTTAAATAAATTACAATTTGAGATGAGGGAAGAAAATAAGACTAAAGATGACTCCAAAATTGAAAAAATAGTTGAGAGTAAGCTTAATCAATAGTATCTGACTATATTTATAGGAAGTATTGAGCAGAGTTTAGCCTAAAATACTATCGATAATAAGAAGGAAGAACCCTAGAAAGTGGAGGAAAAGAAAATTGATAAAATCAGGCACCAATCACATCAAAGAAGACAATAGGAAATTATATAGAAGCAATAGGATCATAGGGCTTTGAAAACAAGAGGTTCAATGATTAAAGAGGAAAATGATAAGCTTGAAAAAGAATTACAGGATCTTATGGAATAAAATAAAAAATACTTCTCAAGAGAAAGAAGAGAGGTTGAAGAAGATGTATTTGTAGAGAAGGAACCATAGAAAACATTGAAACGAATAGGTGGTGGCTATGTAAAGGAAACAAAGAAAGAGCCTTAATAAATTAATCCGAACCCACCTATTTCATAAATGCAAAATAGAAACTTAAAGACTAGATAATGAATGAATTTATATTAGCAATTATAAATTAGTCTAATAAAATTTGCACTGGAATTTAAATTCACATAATCATGGGGTTTTGGGGTTTTGGGGTTTTGGGGTTTTGGGG